GACATTTTTCTAGTAGCCACACTTTAAAAAGTAAAAAGAAACAGGTAAAATATGAAAAATGTATTTTATTTCATTGCCAACAAACACATGAAATGATACTCAACATCACTCATCATTAGGGAAACACAAATCAAATCTGTAACAGGGTACCACACCACACCCATTAGCATGACTATTATCAGAAAACCCCAAACAGCTAATGCTGGTGAACATGTGGAGAAACTGGAGCCCTCATGAACTGTTGGTGGGAATAACAAATGGTACAGCTACTATGGAAAACAGTGTGGAGGTTCCTTAAAAAACTAGTAACAAAACGACCATATGATCCACCAATCCCACTGGGTATGTACCAAAAGAAACAAAAGCAGGATCTCAAAGAGGTATTTGCACACCTATGCTTAAAGCAGTATTATTCATGATAATCAAGGGATGGAAGCATTCCAAATATCCATTGACTGGTGAACAGATAAAGAAAATGTGGTCACATTTTCTGCACACACAAAGAAATATTATTCAGCCTTAAAAATGAAATTCTCACATGGGCTACAAAATGGACAGACCTTGAGGACAGTATGATGAGTAAAATAAAAGTTACAAAAGGACAAATACTATAGAATTTTACTTATAAGAGGAACCTGGAAGAGTCAAAATCACAAACAACAATAAAATGCAGGTTGTCAAGAGCTGGGAGGAGGGGAATTGGGAAGTTGTTTAATGGGTATATTTTGTTTTATAAGATGAAAGATTTCTAGGAATTGGTTGCATGATATTGCAAATATACTTTTAATACTACTGAACCACACACTTAAAAATGGTTAAGATCATAAATTTTATGTTGAGTTTTTTACCCCCTCCATTTAAAAAAAAAAATTTATCCACTATATTCAAAATATCTCAACATGTATTGGGTTGGCCAAAAAGTCTGTATGTTTCTTTCTATAAAATAAAAGACACATTTTTCATTTCCACCAGTAACTTTATTGATTTGGATATTTTGAGTATGTCAGCTATCTCCCTCAAGGTATAATGTTGATTGTTCTCAATTAATGTGACAATTTGATTGCTATCAACTTCAACTGGTCTACTAGACTGTGGAGCATCACTGAGAAGTCTCCAGCACAAAACACCCCAAACCACTTTTGACACATTCAGTCAATCATAGCACCTTCGCCATACACTGCGCCAATCTTTTTTTTGCATTTCAGTTGCGTTTTAACCTTTCTTGAAATAAAGCATAGTATGCTACAAATGTGCATTTCCTCCCATATTCAATATTAAAATGCCTACACCAAAACTCAGCAATTTTGGTATAAGTTTTTAAAAAAATGCATGCAGATATGACAGCTGTCACAATACAATCTAAAAAATTGTTTCTAACGAACTTGAAGACACTAAGCACTACTAGGGCCAACTTACAGGGGAAAAAACAAATAACATTTTGGGCCAATCCAGTAATTAGTATGAAAATTACTGGGGTATTTCGTCCTCGTGTTCAAGCACTAAGCCTTAAATTCTCATGTGAACTGACACTGTCAGCACATCTGACTTGGACGAGCCTCACCTGAAGGCTCAATGCCCATGTGTGGCTCCCCTAGGAAGCCTAAGCCGAGCTACACCTGATCTCTGTCACTCCTATGTGACAAATCTAGTAGCTAGATCCAAGTAACTAAGAATATTTGGGGCACGGGGGGGGGGGGGGGCAGGATCTTTTTCTTGCTACCAGACATATTGTTCTCAGTCAGCTCTTTGGAAAAGTAATAGGCAAATCTTGAATACCTCTGAACATCTCCTGAGTGTCTTCAGGTCCTCAGGATTTATAGGACATCATGCCTCCCCTCTGAGCTCACAAACTAAAAGACCAGCTAAAAGGGAAGCATGCAGGACCCTAAAGGACATAAAGAACACAACTCCTACACGGAATTCCGATGTGCCAGGGACAAGCATAAACTCTAAGTAATTTACCAAAATGGCCTGTGGAAGTTAATTATTGGCATTCACCCCTATCCTGACCTTTCTCAGTCAATTCATACTTCCAACAGCACTGATGACTCCTAAGTGCGACTCTATCCAGCATTTAGTGCACAACTTGTACTGAAACACATTTGGTGAAAGCACACTCAACAGAAAAGGCCACCGACATTGTCAGTGGTTCTGATTAAAATCGTCAGTTCTTCCCTAAGAACATCGGTCCACTTCCTCTTCCCAGAAAGGAGACTAAAACTTGGTAAAGCGAAAAAATGATTTCTCACAGATATTCTCTGAAGGTATCTTCAGAAAAATTAGAGACATCGAGGAAGGTGTTTCTGATAGCCATCCAGCTGCTGTGCGTCCCTACACAACACACTTGTTCTCAGTAGAAGAGAGACGCGGGGACAACATTAACATATGTTGCTCTCCGCCCCAAGTTGTGGAGCAGAAAGTGTCTGTGGACACCGATGTTCCTGGCTAAGAAGAACCGCTTTGTAATCTCCCATTTGTGCCCCACTGGTGGAAAATGATCATAAAGGCTTCTATGTGAAAGATGTATGTTGCATAAATTGCCAAAAGCTTCATTGACAATCTTAATGGATGTGACTAAGTAAGGAAAACTGAACATGGCCAGAAAGAAAAGAACCAAATCCACCAACTCAGCAAATTTCACTGGCCTTCAAGAACTGAACTATTGCAAGAATATGCAGGAAAATGTTACAGACTATGAAGACGGTAAACGCTATTCCTCGAACACACTCACATCTGACTGCCATCTCCTCCCACCAGCCCCAAGCTTTCCCTGCTCAGCCCCTCCCCAACTAATCTCCCAAGAACTAATCCTGAAAACTTATCTTGGACATTAACTTCAGACATGCTTCTTGTAACTCACTATCTAATCCTATGCTTTCAATTATCACACCAAACTAAAGAAATGTAGTTAATATTATAAAATTATACCTCAGGATCCATTACTATACTTCACTGCTTAAGCATAAGTTTGCTTAATAATTTAAGATTGTGATCTCTAAAGCTCTCCATCTGTCATCTCAAGTAACGGTGCTTACACCTAATAATTAGCTCTCTAAAGAGTATGTCACCAAGAAAGCACTCATGCCACCCTTACATTAAAAAGCAGGCTGACTCACCCTCTACCTGGTTAACAGGGGACAAGAAATTATTTCTGTGCATTAAGCCAGCACCCACACAGAATGGTTTGGCCTGTAGTGAAAAACTGTAACAACTTTTGGAAGATCCTGAAACACATAGGTTTTTAAATACACACCCCACTGAGCCACATTAATTCACTTAAGTGAGCAAGAATGCCGTGGGTTCGTGTACTCAGGATTATTTCCATGAACAGACGAACATTTGCAAGCACCAAGAACTTCTAAGGCTGAAATGAGTTTCCACCAATAGCAACAATTAAAGGAATAGCAGTAATAATTTTGGCTCCTTGTGCTAAGGAGGAATCCTAATAAAGACAGTCGTCCCCTGGTACCCTTGGGGTTTCAGGGCTCCGGGGGGGTACCAACATCCACAGATGCTCGAGTCCCTTATATAAAAGGGTGTAAACACAACACTGCACATGCCCAGTCTCGGCATGGATGTGACAGCAGGGTGTACCTGCACATCACTTCATACAATGTTTGTCACAAATGACAAATTCAAGATTTGCTTTCCGGAAACTTCTGGGTTACTCCTAGCCAATGGAGGATCCACCCTCACACAGCTGGTGATTCCTCAGATATGAAACCCATGGATAGGGAGGGTCAAATGTAGCTGCTGATGTTTTTGTCATTTGTATCTGCCATGTCCCAGGTGTGCAGAACCTCTGACAAGTAACCAACTCTCTATGGTTCTATCGTTCTCTGTGACCTGGGGATGGACATGCACAGTTCTCACCTTACTGCAGGTTATGAAGACGGAGCCCTACAGAATCTGCAAATGCAAGATTTGTCATTGTGTTTCAACAGTTAAATGTCTCCTCTGGTGACTGTGTCACTTAGGTTTTAAGAGAATCGATACTGAATTTTTTAATCGATAATACTGCAAACTTGCTTGTATCTTGTCAAAGCAGGAAGGACCAATCTGGACCAATGGTAAAGAAAACCAGCTGAATCCTGATGAAGACACAAGCCTGTCCCATCAGTGGTAACAGAGATTTGAACCCATACACCCACCCCCTTACTGCCCACATTCAAAGTCACATGCCAAGGGTCAAGCCTGTAGATGGTTTTATCCCACTTGCATAACGTTTTGAAAGTGCCAATGTTTAAAAATCAGGACATTTGGTATCAAAATGTACAAGGTAATGTTCTGAAATTACCATGCAATATAGGAAAAGAGATCTACCACTTAGACCACACACCTTCAGGGCCACAACGGGGGGGGGGGGGGGGGGGGGCAAAGGCTCTCCATCTTACCCGAATCTCACCAGCTCCCTCCTGATGATAATGCCAAGTATTTCTGAGCACTGGTATCTGCTACTCCTGGTTCAGACCCTGAAACTGCCTTTCACCCCTTAAATAAAAACCCACAATCTAACCTCATTAGGATTCTGTCCAAACTCTGAGCAAACAAAATAAGCCCAAAGAATTTGAGAATGTAAACCATGTTCATGTCTCTAACTATATGTGTTTTGAAAATGATTAACTTGTTTCATCTTTCTTGAGACCTTCAGTTACATTAAGCTTTCTGCTGTAACTGAGTCCCTTTCAAGTAGACTGTCATGAATAAGTAAATCTTAGTGAAGAGGACTTGCCACGTCATACACTTAAGGACAGCAGCAAGGACTCTAGCTTTGCTGTCCAGTAAGCTGATGCTTGGACCTCAACTTATTGGCACCACAAAACTGGCGGTATTTTTTTAAAAAAAGGGTATTATGTTTTATTTGATACATCCACCATTCCCATGAAAATATGAAACAAATCAGTCAAAGGATTCTAAAATGAGCTAGAAATGCCACACACAACCTTTCACAGATAGTCAAACAACCACAAGTCCACTGCCTCTTACCCGGAACTGCTTACCCATTGCATTGAGATAATGGTTGAAGGCCTGACAAGGAGGACTTGGGGTTTGCGTTGATTTATCACAACTCATGGGTGCTGGGCTCCTGTCTGTGTCAAAAGAGAAATACCCACTGGAGGATCGAGACAGCAGGGAGGATCTTCTCACAAAGATGAAAAGCGGGGATCTGGTAGCAAAAGGCCCGGGACTGGCCGGTGGGGCCAGCGGGCCCTGAGGGCTGCCGTGGGGGCAGCGGTCCCCTTCGCCTTCTGGATTACCTTGTGGCTCTATCTGTACAGAGGTGGGAGCCCCAGGTCTGAACTGAGGAGGCCACTCCGCAGGCTGTAATTGTCCACCTTCTCTGCCACACTCAGAACTTACATCCGAAGGTTGTTTTGCCATTGGGTCTTCTTTTCTGCAAGTAAAATAAAAACTAAAATTATTTTAAGCAAAATAATAATCACAAACAACTAAATTAGCTAACTTTCAACTACTCATTAAAAATCAATACCAACTAATTTGACAGTAAGTCATTACTTTGTACATTTTACAATCTTACAAATAAGAATAAAAATAAACCTAAAATAATAGAACTATTAGTATTTATGTTGGGGGGGGGGCTTAACTTCCAGCCACTAAAAAATAAAAACACTGTGACAACATCCATGACTTATGGGGCTGGTGCTGGAACACAAGACAAGTTTTGGAAGAGGGAGCGTTTCTGAGGTCTATTCACAGAGCTCTGCTCAAAGCCAACTGGACTAAGCCAGAACACCCAGAGGACTCTGATTCCCTGGTTCCCGGGATTAGACCCTGGGTTTGGGGCACAGGAGTGTGCGCACAGGCAGCGACTGCAAGCAGCTGGCCGCGTTCCCCGCTCCGGCCCCATTGTTCTGCCGAAAGTGCTGAGGGCAGCAAGTCTGGGGAGGTTTGGCAAGGGCCGTCCGTCGTAGTAAGTGCGTCACAATAGAGTTTGTAACTCGGAGCCCGCTCAGCCCGCTCAGCTCCCGCCCGCCCGTCCGCTGTCCCTTGCGCGGGGGCAACAAGACGCACCTACCCAGCAAAACTTTCCCCCAGTCCACCCGCACTGTTAGGGGAACACCTCTCCAAATGGGGGGGGTCCCCGAAGCCGGCCCCGGGTGCTCCGACAAGTGAACAGTAGCCGAAAATGCTAGATACCCCGGGTGCGCGGTCCCTTCACCCGGTTGATCCTCCCACTCCCCCACGAGTAGGCCGAAACTCACGTCCGCCCCTTTCCTTCCGAGCGCCGCGTCCGGGCCCGGGCCCCGCGGCGTCCGGCCCGCAACTTTCGCCGACTCGGATCCCCCAGACCGTCACCAAGGAGGCAGTGCACAAGATAAAGCCCGGGACCCGCGCTCAAAGGTCGCGGGGCGGCGCAGAGGCCGCAGCTGGCCGCGCACGTCTCGCCGCGTTCCGCCCGGGCGCCTTGGGCTCCGCTCGCCGCGCCTCTGTCCCGCACTGCCCCGGCCGCCGCCGCTGCCGCCGCCGGGAACATCCTCCCCTCCGCCGCTCCTCCCCTCGCGCACTGCGCCTGCCGCCGCCGGCTCCACCACCTCCCCGCGCCACTGGCGCCGGGGTCTGCGCTCCCGATTGGCCCGTGAGCACACGCTCCGTGCCCCAGCCAATCATCGGCCCCAGCGGGGGCGGTGCCCACGGGCCAGGCCGCCAAAGCCTAAGGGATTGTTGACAAATACGCCTCTAAGCGCCTCGCGGGCCGTGACGGCGGTGGCTTCCAGAACTCTGGACTCCGGGCCCGAAGCCCGGGCGGCCCGGCTAACCGGTCTACCCCTCTGTCCACCCCGATGCCACGCGTGCCTCAGCGGCTCCTACCGCCCAGAGAAGCCGGTCACCTGGAGACAAAGCAGGAGCCGCAGGCAGTTCTCAAACCCCGGTCCTTGCCGCTGGCCGGCAAGGTCCCCCCGCTCAGGTTCTCCTAGAGGCCTCCCATTCCCCAGCCGCAGCACCCATCCAACTTCCTCCTCCCTCTTCCTACCGTACGCCGGGGCCACGCACCAAATCCGAACCGCCAACCCCGCGGATAGGGAACCGCGAGCAGCAAGCCAGGGGTCGGACTGAGCTTGGGCACGCCCGAGTCGCTAAGACCGCCCTGCCGGCCCCAAGGACGGAACATGTCTGCGGCCCGCTCTCGTCCACCGTGTCGTCGCCCCGGCAGTGGAGGTGGCCCTTGGTCTCTCGCTGTCCGTGGCTCTTGAGCCTGGCATCGTTCGCAGGACGCTCACGGAGCAGGGCTCCCGGACACGTCCGAGAGGTGGACGCAGCGGCTGCCCCTACCCCTCAGCCTGATGTGCACAAGAAAAAAGCCGAATCTAGTCAGTCAGTCCCCAGCACAGTTCCGCAAATACTCTGCAACGAGCCCGCGCGCCCCAGACCGGCTCGTACCGTACGGCGGGAGAGCCTTCTCTGCCGGGCACGCAGCTCAAACAGAGAAGCAGCCTCAGATCCCGAGACGGCGCGAAGAGCACGCACTGCCTCTCCAGGGGCCCGAGACCGGGCTCCACCCCGCGCACCGCGACGTGGTCGGGTCCGCACTTCCACTAAGTGCTAGCAGCCTGTGAGGACGACCCCGCCCCAAACGACTTATCTGGGTAAAGGACCCGACCAACTCTGATCGCTGCTTCCCGCAGGGTCAAAGGCTGGAGGAGGACGTGTTTTTCCGCCAGCACGTGCGCGGGAAGCGGGCAGGAGGTGGAGCGTGTGGCTCCGGCACCAGTCACCCACCCGTCCCGCGCCGCGCCAGGGGTCCGTAGGTATTTACCTTGCGTTTCTCTGTCGGAGAGTCAGAGTCAGACATTGGGGGAGCGCAGGCCAGGGGAAGTCGCCGAGGCGGTGGCGGCGGGAGCGAGACGAACCTAGATGCTGGCTCCAGTAGAAAAGGAGCGCCGCGCGTCTGCGAGGACTCGTCGGCGGCAGTGGCGGCGACGCTGGCGCTAGCGGTCAGACGTGCTCCAAGCTCGCAGGCTGCACAGAGCGAAGTGAAACCTGCGCGCTGCTGCAGCCCAGCTCTGGCCCGCGACTCTGCACCCGCGCCCAATCACCGTGGGCCCCGCCCCCACCAGGGCCCGCCCCGCTCCCCCCAGCTCGGCTCCCAAGCGCAGCGGTCCCCGCCCCTTGCCTGGGCAGCTCCTGCGCCTGCTTTTGAGGCAGGTAAAGGACTAGCGGCCAGCCGGGTTCTCGCTGCGCGCGCCGCTCGCCCAGCAGCAGTCGGGCGTGTTTACAAAGTAACTCCGGCTGCCGTCGGCCGTGTCACCCATCCCCCACCCCAATGTGCACCCCTCCCCTACCCGGTAGCGGCCGCGTTGTGCGCGAGAAACAGAGGGGGCGCTCCGGGCACAGAGCCCTCTGGGCCGTTACCTCCCGCAGAGCCTGGGGAGACGGCCTTGAGACTTGAACCCGCTTCTGCAGTTTTTATCAGCTGTCCTGTGGCAGGCGCGAGGACGGTTTGGTCCCCCTAGAACTCGCGGGTCCACGGTGGAGTGGGGCGCCTCGGCGCGATCTCCACTCCGAGTACGAGCTTCCGGCGGGACCCGATCTTCAGGCTGCTAATCTTCCCCAGGGGCATCCTCCTCTTGCCACTCGCAGGGCCACCTAACTTTTCTCCCGGTCGAACCTCCGCTAAGCGCTGGAGCCTTTCCTTAGTGGGCAGAGACCAGAACAGAGCGCAGGGCGATTTCCAGGGTCTCTTTCCGAAGCCCGGTGCAAGACGGGAAGCGAGCGCGCAACCGAGCAGGTAAAATAGGGATATGAAAAAAAATAACTTTAAAAAAGTCCTTTTGAGAAAAGAAAACACGAAAAGAAAGAGAAGCCCGGACTCCAGGTGAGAGAGGGTGGTGCCTCCGCTGAGTTGGGATCCTCAAGTCTCTTTGGGCTCAGGGAACCGTCCCTCGGCGCGCTGAGGCCGGTGCAGGCCAGGCGTGTGTGGAGCACAGTACCGCGCCCCCCGCCCCAGTCCTGTGCACCTTTACGCCCTTCCTCCTTGGAATCTGTGGCCCCACTCCCGCTCCTTCCCGCGCTCCACTGGTGTTTCTTGGGGTCCATACCCCCACCTGTCCTCTTAGTGCCTGTCCGGCGCGCCCCCTCCCTGCGTTCCCTGGGCTTTGGGACACACCGCGACGCAGAGCGGCGGTAAGGTCAGTCAAAAGAAGGGACGTTTCGCTGCGGGGGAGCCCCTGGCTAGACGGATTTTTAAAAACCTCAATTTAGGGATCGCGCTTACCAGCACCCCGGAACGAAGGGAGGGTTTTCGGCGCTGTCCCGCCTTTTGTCCACCTTGGTCAGTTTTTATTTATAAGCAGATACAGAAGAGCAGCGTGACAGCATAGGCCCAGATTATAGTCCCAGAGCATACCTCCGCGAGTCCCGAGCTAGTGGCCGGAAGTTGGGGGTGTGGAGATTTTGCTGCAGGAGGGAAAGGACGAGTGTGGACATGGCCAGGTGGACGCAGAGGCCGGAGGTCTGACCTGACCGCGGCTTGGAGCATCAGCTCACCATCGTAGGTGGCGGCCGCAGCCGAACTCTGCACGGTAGGCTCTCGGCCTGGTACCGGCAACCGGCCACCGAACACCGAACCGACAATGCCGCTAGGAGCACCAACCTGCCGCGAGCCCGTGTTCTCGCACTTTCCGTGGGCTTGAGTGAGGCAGGCAGGGCCGGAGAAGAAGCGCACAGAAGGAAGCCCAGAGGGTGTCGTCTGCTGAGGGTGTCGTCTGCTCCGGTGCAGCTCCGCCGCCCCCGCGCCGCCCGCTCTAGCGGCCCGGTGAACACTTTAAAAAACAGAGGTGCAGAGAAAAGCAACCTGTTAAGAGCTCTGTGTGGCACACAACCAAGAGGTCGGTCCGGAGGTGGATGTTTACGCCACACATGCGGTGCTGGGGAGCTTGGGCCGAGGGCTCCGCTCCGGTGACCGCAAGCCCTTCCTGCCCAGTCCCACGACGTCGTGAGGTCCTCCCGAAACCGGCCTTAGCCCAGAGGACGAGCAGCACGAGAAGGGCGTTAGGCGTCAGGTCTCTGCTCCAGTCACGGATGGCGCCCTTGAGAACACGGGAGGACTGGAGCTGGAGGACCGAGGATTGCTAGGACCAGAAGGGCCACGTGGACCTGAGACCGGGGAAGTCTGAGACCTTCGCCAGGCACACGGGCGTCGCTGGGGCAGTGTCTCCAAGTTCTGAAACGTACTTACTGCATTGCATTGCCCGGCCGACCTCCCCGTCCTCGGCAAGCCGAGAGAGAGCCTTCGCATCGCTTCACTTCTTTATGAAACACTATCTGCGCTTCTGGAGAACTTAGTAAACAGGTGCGTTTAGCGAAAACGTTTTCCGCGCGCTGTCCTGCAGCGGGAGTGCTGCGGCCCTGGGAGGACCAGTCCAGCGTGTGCTGTGCAGAGCCAGCCATCAGTGAGGCTCCTATCCAGCCGCGCGTTTCCTCGCAGAGCCGGGGAGTCTCTGACTCACTGGAGCCTCTCGCTCGCTGAGCTGAACCTCTGCCCGCGGGTGTTTGATTTCTGTGCTTCGATTTTTTTTTTTAACCCAGCACCACGATTGTTTAAAATCACTGGGAATCTGAGTCACTGCTGCCAGTGGGAGACCTTGGGTGGCACCGGACCGTGGGGCGTGTTCTCAGGGAGAACGCTTCTCCCCAGAAGCCAGAGAGATGGTGCCGGTGGTTACAGGAAACGGGCACAGCCGCATGCACTCCCTTGGCGACAGCCCGGCGCGCGCCTCGGCTAGACCGAGCTCCGTGGCCTCCAGACCGCAGGCCCTGCCTCCGATCCAGCCCGAGCGTTAGAGAAAGGGCGCGGTGGCAGCTGCGGGCAGGCAACCACCCTGCAGCCGCGCCCGCTACAACTTGGCTCCAGGTTTGGGCAGCGGAGAGTGCGCCCATTGCCGGGCTGGGGGCTGCTGTATAGCTCAGGGTAGAAGGCCCAGGTAGCTAGTGCTTTAGTCATTCCAGCAATGGGCGCCTGCAGGTATGTATGCAGAGTGTTAAAGACAGACAACCCTCAGGGCATCATCCTGCACGGAGTCACAGAAATCCAGCACTGCAAAACTCGACACAAAGGAGTAGGTCCTCTGCTGGCTCGAGTACTCACAGCATCTGGACGCCCCCCCCCCCCCCCGCCCCCAGCACCCGTATACCCAGAGGTCGAAGTTCCTGGGACCCCGAGGGTAAAGGCGTCGATTTTGAATAACCCGAGCAAGCCTTTTTCATTATAGAAATTCCTAACTCAGTGACACCTAGTCTGGCAGAAGCCCACTTATCCCTTAAAAGATTGGGGGTGGACTCCAAATCAGCTGGGAGCTTTAGAGCTGAGCCTGAGAATGTATTCATTTTCCCCGTCCTGACCCCACTCCCGCCCGCTCTCTCTCCCTCCGGTCCCTCCGTAGTGCCTGGGGTGCCACCCTCTGGCGCACACAGGCAAGTGAACTTGCTGAATGGGGGCGCAGTTGAACTGCAGACACCTGCAGGGTTCTCCCCAGCAGAGCCTCCGCTCCAATCCCTCCGTCCACCCCCACCCCTCACACGCTGGCAGCAGGCCACCGTTCCTGAAACGTCTGGCAGTAGTGTGACTGCTGGGGGTTGGGGGAGGCATTAGCAACTCTGTGCATCTTCCACATGGCTGCTGAGGGAAATTCACCGCCTTCAGTTAACGCCAAAGAACCTCGCTAACGCCCCCGCCCCCAGCCGCACCCCGCCCGGTATTCTGACAACCATCGGATGGCAGGATAAAGACATTCCAGCAGAAGGGAGGAGATGCAGGCCAGTGAGTTTGCAGATGCTGCACTGGGTGTATTTTATTTCACTTTCCATGGTTTTGATGCCAGTGCGTTTTTTTTTTTATTACCCGGAAAAAAAAAACTCCCCAAAATAATAGATTGCTTTTCTAAAACTCAACAAGGTCCAACAGAGGGACTGCTCTCCTTTCCGATAACCAGCTGCACACACTACTCTCCCTTTTTCAAGTTTTCAGTCAGCCTGAAATGTCTGTCACTCACCAAATTACAGTTCACCCCAGATTTTCATGGTTTACATTCATGGTTTTAAATATGTCATTTAACCAGCTGCACCTTTGCCCTCATGGGAGTGACTGTCCCCGGGCTGCACTCATGCTAGTAAGACCCTGGTCCCTTTGCAGCAGGCCCAAAGTGCAGTTTCAGGGGCTCAGAGAAGGGGACAGGGGGCAGCCACTACGGGGGTGGGGGCAGCAGAGGGAAAGAGCATGAATTTTAATAGTCCAACAATAACTCTTCCCTTCCAATGTGCTCTGTTACATCA